TGATTTTTATATGCTTATTTTTCTATCAATCACTGAAATAGGTATGTTAAAAACTCACTATAATTGCTTATTTGCCTAAATTTTCTAGTTCTATCAACTTTTATATATTTTAAGATTGTATCATTAAGTGAAAAATTTAGGATTACTTCTAATAATTGAATTGACCCTTTTAATTTTTAATGCTTTTTTTGCCTTAAAGTCTATTTATTTTTAAAATATATTTTTACTGATTTCAGAGAGGAAAGCAGAGGGAGAGATAGAAACATTAATGATGAGAAAGAATCGTTGATCCACTGCCTCCTGCATGCCCCACTGGGGATGGGAGCCTGCAACCCGGGCATGTGCGCTGACCGTTCATATGTTAACACTTAACCACTGAGCCATGGTGGCTGGGTTTAAAGTTTACTTTAAAACAATATATCTATAGCTCCCTGTGATTACTGTTTGATGGGTATATATTCCTCCACCCTTTTCTTTTAAAATTTCTAAGTTCTTATGTCTTAAAAGCATTTATTCTAAATAGCATATGGTTGTTTTGAAAGCAAACCTGTCAATCTTTGTCAACATTGGAGCATTAGCCCATTTACTGTAAGAATGAATCTAGAACATAGTTTTTAAAAACTGGATTTATTGGGCACATATTATCTTACAATCCGATTTCTATTTGTCCCACCTGTTTTTCTTCTCTCCTTATCCTATTTTGCAGCTCTTAAGCCTGTCCACTGATCTATTTCATCCTCTCTCATTATCTAAAAGGTTACACACCCTTTTACTAATAGCTATTACAATATGCATCCTTGACTTATCAAAATCTAATATTAAATGGAATTTTTAAATTCTCTTATTGGATGATGCAAGGGGCTTAGAACACAACTCTATTCAGCCTTCCCCATACCTGTACTTTCAGCACTTCCACAAGACACAACTGTTTTATGTGGTCAGTGTTTATGTTGATCTGTGCCCTTTTCCTTGTCATTGCTTGTCAATCCTTATATTCGGGATCAGTATCCTTCTGCCCATAGAACATTCTTCATTTTCCTTTAGGATATGTGTGCTGATGAATTCTTCCAGTTGTTAGTCTAAAAATGCCTTTTTCCTTCATCCTTTCAGGATATTTCCCCATTAGAAATTTCTAGGCTGGCAATCACTTTAGCACTTTCAAGGGACCACTTCATTGTCTTCCATTGTTCCTGCTGAGAAGTCCCTCTCTCCTCCCACTGGGAGCTTAAAAAAAATTTTTTTTCTTTGGTTTTCAACAGTTCGACTATGGTGTGTCTAGGTTTAGATGGTCTGTTTAATGCACTTATTTGTTGGGGCTTCTTGAATTTATGGCTTGATATGTTTTGTGAGATTTAGAAAAGTTCTCGGCCCAGTATTTATGTGGACATCCCATCCTTTTACTCTATTGAGATTCCACCTACATTTCGGTCAGACATTCTCACGGAGTCCTTTCTGTCTCCTACGCTTTACTTACCTCTTAGACCCCGATTTTTCATCTCATTCTCTTCTCAGTTGTCACTAACCTGCTCTTGAATCCACCCATTGAATTATTCTTAATCCTGCGATCGTATGTTTCAGTCCTTGAACTTCTGTTTGGCCCCTTTTTATAGTTTCTCATTTTCTTGGCCACAAGAAAACTAGAAAATTTTCTTCTTCGAACACAGAAAGCGTAGCTGTTTCAAATTCTGTGACTATCTGCAGACACTATGGATATGTTTTCTTTGACAGTTTTAATTCATATTATCTCATATACCTGGATATTTCTGATTGTAACATTGTAGAAATAATTTGAGGCCTTGATTAATATTCCTGTCTTAGTCAGCTTGGGCAGCTGTAACAAGATACCAGACTGCCTGGCTTAAACAACAGACATTTATTTCTCACAGTTCTGAAGGCTGGATGATGTGATTCCTGGAGAGCCCTCCTCCTGGCTTATAGATGGTAGTCTTCTTGCTATAACTTCTCATGGTGGAGAGAAAGAGAAATCTCTTCCATGTCTTTCCTTCTAAGGGCACTAATCCCATCATGAGGGCCCCACCCTTATGACCTCATCTAAAGCTAATCACCTGTCCAAGGCCCTATCTCCTAATACCATCACACTGCAGGTTAGGGCTCAATATATGAGTTGGGAGGTGGGTATACAAACATTCAATCCATAATAGAATGTACATGCACTAGGCACCTGGGGACACCAGTCACCTGGTTTCACCTGGATCCACATTCAGGGCCTGGCTCACAGAATCCATGAAGGATAGTCTACTGATAGTCACGGAGGACTAGAAATCCAACCAACCCTCCAGCTAAGGACACCTTGGGAATCTGGCCAAAATATTTAAATCTCTGTTTGCAGTGATCCCGAAGCCAACAGGCTGGTGAAGTGTCACCTGGTCAGTCGCATGGGGCTGCTTTTCCTCTGGGGGCCTTTTCAACTCCAGAGGCAGAGCAGCTGGGACTTGGACAGCCCTGGGGAGTCAGGGAGCAGTGGTTGCCATGTACGCCCTGATCAAGGGGGAGGAGGTTCCCAATGAATCTCCCTTGTTTCGGATGGGGGATCCTAAAAGGATATGCCCTAAGGAGAATACATTTTATGCTCCGAGTTCTTAAAAAACAAAATTAAAGTATTTCCTGTGAACTGTGCTATAATCCATTCCTCAGCTTTTCAAATTCAGAGGAAGCCTGGCTCTTCACCAGAGAATGGAAACCCTGATCTCTTGGACTCCGGGAGGTGATGTGGGACACTGGATTAACCTGAATTTGGCATCAGGAAGCTCAAAGACCAAGTCCCTATTATCCAAATGGCAGCTACTGAACTGCAGGCATAGTTCCTAGGAGGAAATTAAGACCCAAAGGGTTGACCTTGCAAACCCAAGCCTCTATCAACTCAGTTACGCAGGGAGCTTTAATCCAAAAGGCAGACCCTGGCTCCTCAGAACCTAAAGGACACTGTTGCCAAAGAGTAAGAAATTCAGGGCCCAAAGCACCCCCCTCCCCAGCGTCTCTCATGGGCGTACCCTAACAAGCTCATGGAAGTTGCTGGATGTTGATTGATGCTGGTCCTATGTTCTGGCCTGTCTTCTGCTTTGCCAGCTCTTGCGATTTCCTTCCAAAGGAGAGGACGGTGTGTGGTGCACTTTCTATGCTTCACCTTTAGGGACCTTCTTTTCCTTCCTTTCTCTGCCTTCGCCCTTGAGCGGCTCCATGCCCCGCTCTGCTGCACCGTTGAACGTGGCTGCCCTGGGATGCCCACGTGACAAGGCTGCTGTTCACAGATCCCAGCACCGGCCTCAATCGGCGACAGTGGGAACCAGTTCTGCTTTTGAAGCTTTTTTGTACAGTCCTTGAGCTCTTGAAAGATAAGGTGCTAGCGAAAGGGGCACGTTCTTTTAAAGATAAATATTGTGGCAGAACCCTTTGTTGGTAAGCTGACACACTGCAATAACAGCTTCGTATCTTGGATGAAATCAGATGTTAATTTCCCTCCTAACACATGATGATCCTGTATGGCCTCATTCTACCCATTTTTACTTTGTGGAAAACAAAAAAATTTCCAAACAAATTCATGCAAGCATAATTCAATGATGTCATTTAAATTTATTGTCATGTAATGAATCTTTCACAAAAGCAAGCAGCTCCTGGCGGGTTTGTGCAGCGGCATCGGGGACGGGCACGCACACGCTGCCTCTGCGGCCGCAGCCCCACTGGGCTTTGAGGCCAGTGGCACTTCTGCTGTGCGGTGATGAGAGGGGTGGGGGGAGGAGAGGAGACGGGGTTCTGGGGGCGCCTCAGTGAGCCAGGCGGCCGGGGGAGACTGGGGCTCCTCTGGTCACAAGAGCTGACGGCCCTGCAGCCCACAGGCTGTCCCGCGGCACCGCCCAGCCCTCAGCCCTGAGGACACTTCTCAGGTCCCACCAGAGACTCAGCTACCCCACGTGACCCTCTGAAAATTTTGTGTTTTGGTTTCATGGAAGCAAATCAAATGCTTCAGAAACAAATTAAAGCTATCCGTCCTTCCCCCACGTGGGAGCTTTGGTTTCAGCGCTGGTCTGGGCGAGGATAAAACCGCCCAGCCGACCTCAAAGGCCTGGAAGATGGAGCAGCCCAGGCCTTTCCCGGGGGACACGCCGACGTGCATGACGTGTCCTTTTCCGAGACTGTGATGGGCTAGGCACCCGCCGGGGACCTGGGGACAGAAGCTGGTTCCTGAGAGAGGGCTGGAGGCAGGCTGCAGTGGATGCTCAGGCTCCCGTGGAATTATGTGCTTTTGTCTTCGTGCAGGAAACTGCTTCTCATCCAGACTGTGCAGGGGCGACGGGACGTGGAGCGGGCTCGCCGGGACGCCCACGCCGTCAGTGCCTGCTGGGCTGAGGGCCGCTGCCGGCTCCCTCGGAGAAGCGCCTTCCTCCAGCTCAAGGACCCAGCGCGGTCATCTAGGCCCCAGTGAGTTTAAACCACGTCAGAAACGAAGAGAAAAACGTGTTTTTCATCTCCTGTGGGTACTGTATTAATCAAATTGGTCTCCTTTTTCTCCCATGAGTCTGGCTGAAGAAAAAAGATTGCTTTTGAAACGAAGCTTTCTTTTCCTAATGATTAATACAGAGTGGATTAACTTAATTTGTACTAGACTCCAATTTAATTCAGCCACAGCACAGAGGCCAAATCCACAGAAAAGCCGAGCTGGGCTTCATGAGGCGGAGCCATTTCCTTTTTTGAGGGAAAGATGCAGGGGATCTAAAGGCTTAGCCAACTGCCCGGGCACCGTGTTTATTAAATCACCACACAGACGACTTCATTTCCTCATTAATTCCTGTCTTGTCATCTTTTCAGATTGGTATTTCTCAGCGTTGAAAGAAACACACATATACATACACACGCGACTAAAACAAAAACCTTGAACATGCAAAAAAATAGAATGTCCTGGGGAAGTATCATGTGCCTAAGGCGGCGGTTCCTGGGAAAGCTCTTGGTTCTGGTTTAGAAATAAATAAAATTGCATGTGGGACAGCAGGTTGGATATTTATTATTGTTGTGCCCCCCCCTTTGTACTATAATCGAAGCCGAGTGATCTACTGCCAACTGGCACTGATGCTCCACATCCGAGTGTGCAAGGGAAACACGCCTGTTTCCTGATCCTAACAGGAGACACACCAGGCCATCTCCCAGGTCTGTTCGCCAGAAAAAAAACACGAGAAGGTGCTTGGTGGCGGGGCGGGCGGGGCTGCCCTCAGTCGGAGTCCATCGTGAACAGCTGGATGTCCTGTGGGCTCCAGTACAGGCCGGTGGCCGAGCTGTACACCAGGGACCAGACGTAGGGGATGAAGAACTCCTCGGGCTGCTCCTCTTCCACATACTTGAATTTCAATTCCGGAAACTTCTGCAACGAAACAAGACGAGTTTATAATCGCGCCGTCCCATGCTGTGTGCGGGGGCCCTCCCCGAGGCGGCCACGGCCGGAGAGCTCTGGGGCTTTCCCAGCTCCGCTCCCACGGACTCCTCAGAGCACGGCGGTTCCTGCAGGAAGGGCATGCGCCCCCCTCGGCACCCCGAGAGGAGCAGGGGCCTGAGAGGGTGGGCACCCCAGACTGCGCGACGGGGCCTGCGTGGGACCCTACAGCACGGAGGGCAGCTGCCCGTCTGGGACTTGGTTCCAGGGCCGTCACCCTGGAGAGGAGCACCTTCCCGCACAACCCCTCAGCTTGGGCGGCGGACGGGCACCCACTGGGTGGAGCGCTGGCATCCGGGTGGCAGCAGCTCTGCACAGCGCAGCTCGCCACCTCCTGCGAGGGCCAGTTGGTCAGCGGAGGGAAGCACTAGCTCCAGCACTTCTGACCGGCGGGGCCTCCATTAGGCCGCCCAGGCACCCATTTCCTCGCCAGCCTCTCAGGAGGTCCCGGGCATCCCCTACCCCGGCCAGCACCGTAACTGCCAAGCAGCTGGGTGGTTTCTCGGAGGCCCAGGCCCCTTGGCCTCTTGGATGAGCCCCCTCACACTGTGCTGCTTCTGGCCTGGCACGGGTGCCAGGTGTGAGGGGACAGGGCTCTTGGAGGTGGCAGTAAGTCTTTGTCATGAAATCAGGTGTCTTACAGGTAGCAACACAGTGATACTCTTTTCTGTGAAAAACTGGCATTTGCAGCAAGAGGGTGCAGCCAGCAGCTGCCTCCAGCCGCGCTCTGCATCACGGCCGTCTGCAATGTTCCCATGCGGCCACCCCACTAATGGGAGGGGCAGCGGGGCCTGCTCTGGGCACCTGGCCTGGGCTGTCGTCGGGAGCAAAGCCGAGGTCTGAGCGGGAAAGTCAGTCTGAAAGTGTCACCACAGCCACCCTAGCACTTGGTCCTTGAACTCCATTCTCCCAGCCAGCCCCCCCCCCCCCCCCGGGCCCTCGGGGCTAGTTCTGTGCCCTGTCACTGCAAGACAGAACCCACCACACTGGTCCTTAAAAAATGACCAAACAGAATGAGGTCAGTTATCAAGAACAGACGGGGCTGTGTTTGAAGAAGAAATGTATCCCCTAATAACAAGGAAGTCCTACTTCTTAGAATGGCCTCAAACTTTAGAAAACCCCTCCCAGTGACGTGGAGAGAAGGGGTGGGGGGAAGTGCAGGGCTGGTGGTTTGGGGGGCCAGCCCCACACTGCCTACAGCGGGAGTCTAACGCCTGCTTCTATGTGGTCAGCAGCCAGGAAACGCACTCCCGTTAGAAATCAGAATGACTGACAGATGCGCAGCCCTGTGGCATCGTTGAGGTTCCCCTGTGGAGGCCTTCGGGCGGGATGCAAGGTCACTTACACTCTGCATCTCCACGGAGGTGGGTGGGAAAGAGACGAGCCAGCAAATTGCTTCAGTGAGAATTCCTTCTCACTGAATTAAAGAGTTAGGCAAGAGCCCCTGTTGGGGTGGGGCTTCGGGGAAATTCTGGTGACTGCTCAGTTAGAAAGAGGCACGAGTCCCAGAGTTGTACTCCTGAAACCTGCATGGTTCTGCGATCCAATGTCACCCCAACTGCTTAAAACCAAGACACACGGGAGATGTAGAGCTGCTGTGGCCTGAGAGCTGGTGCAGGCCCGCCCCCTCTGGCTGGGCACCTGCGACTGCCTCCTGAGGGTGCACCACTGAACACAGGGACCAAGGGCAAGGCCAGGAGGGCTCCATTACTCGCAAAACCTGCACGCTGCAGGCGGCCACGCACCCCCACGCTCCTCTCTCCACAAGGGAACAGTGAGTGGCGAGACATTATTTCTCGTAACTTTTCATCAGCACTTACAAGATCCAGAAAGGGGGATAAAGCATAAAGAGCAAGAAAAACAGAAGCATGTCCCTAGGACAGTGGTCGGCAAACTATTAGTCAACAGAGCCAAATATCAACAGTACAACGATTGAAATTTCTTTTGAGAGCCAAATTTTTTAAACTTAAACTATATAGGTAAGTACATTGTTATCAACTTAATTAGGGTGCTCCTAAGCTGGCCTTTGCTAAAAACGTCCTCAATCTGATTGAGGTACGTTCGCTGAGGTCGACCCCTTCCAACTCTCCCATCCACACTCGTCTTGTATACCTGTTTCGTCTATCTCCTTTCATTCATCCTCTCTATATGTCCAAACCATCTCAACATACCTAAAAAAATGTTTCATTTTATAATAATAAAGTCACCATCACAAAATAATGACAATTCTTAAATTGATGACAAAAATACCTGTAGGATTTGCAGCTGGTTGGAAAAATACAGGTAACTTTATGCTTCGAGTAGGTACTTTTGTCACCCACGCTCGATTTGCGGACGCAACTAGCACTAACCACTGCACAATGAGGCTGCTGGCTGACTGGCTCACTCAACTCGTGCATGAATCGCGCGCGTCTCCCCCGCACTGCGTATGCCGTCGCCTGACCGACAGACACCCCCTTCTTCTACCGCCACTTCTTCAAAATAGACTCGCCCAGGCTGAAAACCGACTTCTGCGCATGAGCCACAAAGTTTCAATCCCACTGTACCTGCGCACCCGCACATGGTATTTTGTGGAAGAGCCACACTCAAGGGGCCAAAGAGCCGCATATGGCTCATGAGCTGCGGTTTGCCGACCACTGCCCTAGGACTCACTACACTAAGCTAACACTGGAAAGCGCAAAGTAAGAGCTTCCATTTCCTGCAGCGAGCCGTTTTTAAGAGTGCACTGGGAACATTATAAAAGGGAGAATAAGAGGCATAAGTCATACAAGAGCTTTGAAAACACCATCTGGTCAACCCGAGTGTGAACGCAGCCTCTGAGGGCGCGCTGTGCCCGAGCTGCATGTAGCCCGCCCCTCCCCCAAGCCTACCACAGCTAGAGAGAGGGCAGCATGGTTCGAGATTTAAACAGACCTCTAAACAAACAGTGCTCCTCTAATCTGTCGCAGAAGCCTGGGAGCTAAGGAAGAGGAAGACAAAAGGTTTTATTTAGCACTGATGACACTGGGGACACATTTTGTCAGGATTCAGTCCAAGAAGTGTCATAGTCTGAATGTCAGATCAACAACCTAGAAAGAGTCACTCTTTCCTCTCCTCCTTTTCCAGCCGGGGGAGAACAATGATGCCATCCTGTGATGGCCGAGGGAAGTCCCACTTCCTCACTCGAGGGAGCGTCTTCACTCCTGACTCCGCCAACAAAGTCCCTGCTTCCCCGGGCCCAGGCCGCGAGGCGCTCCCAGGCCTGCCCAGCGCTGACCACCCATCTTCTCTCCAATTCTCAGGCCCCTGTGGGCCCCAGGTGGTGACAACTGGGGGGCGTCCTGAGGACCACTAGGGCCTGGGAAAGCGGAGGGTGGGGCTGGGGGTGGGGCTTTGGTTTGGTGGTTGCGGCAAGAATTCACCTGGAGTGTGCCAGCAGCGGGCTTCAGCCCCCCTCTCCAAGACAGTTGTCCTGTGACTCAGTTAAGGAGAGAAAACCCATCTCTCAGGCTTGGAGCTTGGTCTCAGTCCAGAGCTACTGACAACAATCCTGTTGTTTTGATATTTGGAGCCAGAGGTAATGCTAGACTCTCAAGTTTGGCCGGAATGTTTTTATCAGCTCCAGTGAATCAACCCACCACAGTGGGACATCCGGACGCCCAGCCCAGAGACAAAGCAAAGGTCTGATTTAGTGGTTGAGACTCGGGTATAACAAGCAAACCAAACGCTTTAAAGACGGTCTCTGCTGTCAGTCATGTGATCTGGTGAAAACCCACAGGATGTTCAGTGAACAGATGTAGGGCTCAACTGCAATAATTTTATTACCACAAAAAGTTCAATGGCGTTTTCCCCCTTCCACCCAAAGATTGCACAGATAGCACCCGAAATTCTAGCAAGCCCCTGGCCCGGCTCCAGAAAGCTTAGTGCAATTTAAAATCAAACAGCTACACAGCACAAAAAGAACTTTCTGAAAGACCACAAGAAGCCTCTGAGTAGATGAGTGATGGGCGACGGTCCGTGCGAGCCACTCGTGACCACCGGCAGGTGTGGGGGTCAGGCTGCAGGAGGGAGTTCCCTGAGCAGTGCACACAGGCTTGGGGTGGGGTTCTGTGCACGTGCGAAGTGAACTGGTTTAAAGATCCCCCCATGAGACAGCGGAAACATTTACATACATTTTTTAAAAACCCAGGGCTGATTTGGGGATGATTATCAGCTCCACCCCATTCCTTCCCTCAAATACTCCTGCTGCGTAACACCAAGTCCTCCAGTGGCGGGTCCTGGCCTTGGTGAGGCTATGCTGAGCCGTGGAGGAGAAAGGGGAGGAGCCGCGCTCCTCTAGCACCTGGCGGTTAGGAGGAGGGACAGGGACAGTGGGCGCATGGCCTCTCCCACGTGGACCTGGCTATCACTGGGGGTGGGGGGGGGGAGAGCTGACCTGGGCCTGGACAGCAAACTCTAGGAGAAATACTGAACTGACAAATCCGGAAACATCACATACTAACTCAGCTAACTTATGGCTCAGCAAGTCTGAACCACAGGCTCTTCTGTGTGTAAGGGAACGAGTTACAGATGTATCCATATTATTACTTAACTGACAAAAAGATACCCAACCGTCTGTGAGTAACAGTAACGCTAAATGTGGCATAATTCTATATTGTGTGAATTACTTTCAAAATTAATGAAAAACTAAATTCGAACTATAGACAATTATGAAGGGCCACTTAATAAAAGTTACAGATTAAGAACTCCGAAGCTAAAATGGAGAAGCCCATGATGAGGGCCGCTCAGAAGACGGTCACTGCACTGCACGTGTGAGAGCCTCACGGCCTGGGTCTCGGGGGGCTTGCTGGGAGTAAGTTTCCACCCAAGAAGAGAGTTACAAGGTAAGCAGACCCCTATCCCGAAAGCTCAGGCCAGGGGACCAACCACATCTCACTCAGGACATTGTCTTG